GTGTCTGTGTGTGTGTATCTGCGTGTGTCTGTGTATGTGTTTATCTGTGTGTGTCTGTGTGTGTGTGTCTGTGTATGTGTCTCTGTGTGTGTGTCTGTGTGTGTATGATTTTTTGTGTGTCTGTGTGTGTCTCTGTGTGAGTACATGGCACACACATGCACCATCAGATATTTTGTCACAGAAACTAGAATAGTGACCAAAACCCACTTAAAAAAAACAAAACACACCTCTTTTCCATCATCACATCCAACCTTTACAGTACCCTTGATTCCGACAGGCAGACCTTCCTCCCTGCTTTCGCTATACTCCCAGGGCGTTTGTGGATTTTTACTATCGTTACCACCATTACCCTTTGCTTAGGTTTTTGTCTCCATATCACGACACTCGTAAAAAGATCAGTGGACAGTTTGCAGGAGTTGCCTCCCTCCATCCACATGGTGGATTGAACTCAAGTGGTCAGGCTTGCTAGCACTCACCTTTCACCCACTGACCCATCTTGCTGCTTCCCACCAGCATAATTTTTAATGAATACTTGTGGCCCCCTGTTTGCTCGGGTCACAAATCTAGATGACCCAACACCTGGCACGGTAAATGCTGAGTAACTGTGAACCTCAATTCTGCGTAGAATTATTGAAGTTCAGACATGATTTCAAACAAGTACACGACACCACGTCTTCCTCCCAATTTATTCCAGGGTATGCTGTAAACAGTGAGCCGTCCCTTTGACAGCTTTCTGGCTTCACCCATCTCGGATGACACGACAGATTCTCCTTCACAGAAGGTAAAAGTGGACCAGAACTGGAGAGGGTGGGGAGACAGCGCATTCTGGATCCTTCCTTCTTCAGAAAGTATGATCTCATCCAGAAGCATCTGGTTTTCAGTAGAAATGGCCCATGTTCCTGGGGAGCGAGGACTCCAGGCCACTGTTCATCCATATTTCTTGAATGATTTGCTCCCTGCGCTCAATCCTTTCTGCCAGCTCAGCGGCTTCTATAGAGCTATAGGCTGGATAGGAAGTCCTACAAAACCTGGACAGTTCCACAGGAAACTCAGAATCCGAGGAGTCCTCCTCCTCCACGTCCTCCTCGCTGTCCTCCTCCGTCTTGTCGCTCCCTAGCACCAGGTGCTCCCTGCCCTGCCTCAGCTCCTGGAAGTCCTTGGTACAGGACACTCTGATGACCAGGGCACACAGTGTGAGGAGCAGGCCGATGCAGACACTAGACATGAACAGCAGAGCGGCTCTCTCGGGGTGGGCTGTAAGAAGAGGAGAACATGTGAGGGTCTGAAAGGGTTAATTTGGGCTCATGGTTTTGAAGACTTGTCCTCTCTCCTGTCAGAGAAGGTTGTGGCAACAGGCTCATGTGGTAAAATCTGTTTTCATCACAGTGGGCCAGGACCCAGGGTTCTTCCCAAAATGGTATTACTAGTGGGGAACACACATTCAAACATGCCCTTATGAAAGACAACCCAGATACAAATTATAACAAGCAGCCATTATGTTATGTGCTATACACATAACAAGCATATGTATAGCACGAGGCCTGACTGTGTCCCAATAAAACTTTATACACTGGAGCTGGGGGCCATTGATTGGACACCCCTACAGATGTTCAAACTGAGGCCCAGAGGGAAAGCCCCAGAGGTCAGCAGCCTCTCCAAGCAGAAGCAGGCTGGGTCCTGCAGCTCCCTGTGGGATATACTTGGTGTGCTCAGCATTTTCTTGTGAGATATACTTGGTGTGCCCAGCATTTTCTTGGTATCTACCAAGTATCTAACTGCTGGGAGCCTCCTCTGAGGACACTGTCATGCTTTCATTCTGAACCCCCCCCCCCCCAAAAAAAAAATCCCAATGAAGGCGGTTGTCTTTACAACTGCCATATTTCCCCAGGGGTCTAGACTGGAGTCTCAAAACTCTGGGGCTGCTAAGATTCCTCTGCAGGGAGGGACCTCACAGCTGAGATCTGATGGGAGAGATGGAACCAGGACACTTTATCTTCCTGAAAGTGGATACCTCCCTGGCCAGCCGCCTTCCCACAGCCCAAGCTGTCCCTGGATGGCTCTACTCATCTGTGCTGATGTCGTGACCCGGCCTGATGCCTCCCCACTCTCTTTAAGACCCAGATGTTTGAATTAACATTGATTTTGGCTGAGGAAAGGCAGATTATTTCTGTCGCCTGATCAGTTCAGTGTTGAAGAGACAACATATATAAAGGACTGGCTGTCACAGAGCCACGTGCCCTTTCCACGGGGAGTGAGGCCGCGGGTGGTGAGGGATGGGCTCTCACTGACACTTGTCAGGAAATCACTAAACTGTGATACCAGGACCAGGGCATCTGCTCAGACCTCCCTTCTCTGGCAGCTCAAAGCCTGCTCTTCTGGTCCACTCTCACTTCTGACTTAGTACAGACACAGCTTGCTCGTCCTTCACAGTTCTATGTGTTGGAATCAATACCTCCTGTGAAGCATAAGAGGCCACAGCCTTAATTGTTTTCTGGCCACTTGTGTGGGGGACAGGGCCAGCTCCAGGCAGAAACGCACTCAGAGGAAAGTCTCTGAGGAACTAAGACCACTCACGGTTGTTGTCCAGTATCCCGCCCTGCCTCTATCCCATCCAAGGAGGGAGTAGCCGCAAACCAGGTCCTCAGGCTTCGTTGACTCAGGATCAGTTTTGTGCTTGCTCTAGCACAAAACTGACTTTTTAACTTTACCTTTTTATTTACTCTTAAAGTTTTTTTCCCATGCTGCAGTCTGAACGTTAGGACACCACACATGCTGGGCAAGTACTCTACCTCTGAGCCACAGACCTTACTCCGTTTTTAAAGAACTTGGATTGATTGAATAAAGTGAGTCATAATCTACCTTAGTCATAGTGCTACCTTAGGGTACATCACATGCTACCTTAGGGTACATCACATGCTACCTGAGGGCACATGACATGCTACCTTAGGGCACATCACATGCTACCTTAGGGCACATCACA